TGTTAAACCAGTTATAACAAAGCTCGATAATCAAACCAATGACACAGGTCGTTTCATTTGAAACAGGATACGCTATTGGCTTGCTTATCCAGCCGATGTACCATTCAATACGCCCGGTATGCAAATATGCTCTTCCACAGAGGACGAAAAAAGTAACATTTAAATTATGAAATTTTATTTGCTTAAATATAAGTAAGATTATTTTATATTAATTAGTTGTATGAAGGCAACACGTATAGAAAAAAATTGTATTTAAATGAGCAAATTGTCTAATTTGCATTCTTGGTTTAATCGTAATAAAATTAAGAAAACAATTTGATTTATAGATTTGTATAATTAAATTAAAAATACTCATATCTCAGCAAATTTTGGATTTTTCGATATTTTTTAAGTCTCTAAATTTTTTCAAAAATTTTTTTCCGCGCGAAAAAATTTTATCGCGATTTTAATCTACCTTTAATGACTCACGATTAACGCTTAATTGTTTTTTAATGCGATTATTTTTATCAAATTTCATTCATCGTTCTAAAGTTGTAGTGCACAGGTTTTACATCGGTAAAGTTATTTAAAGCTAGTTTCTGATGTCAAAAACCACTTTCAAGAGTTTTTTAATTTTTTTAAATAAGAATTTATTAGAAAATTGCTTGGTGCATTAAAAAAATAAATCATTTGAAAAACCACCGACGAAATCGTCTTTATAAAACATGTTTTATCTTCCCAACAAGAATTTCATCACAGGAGAATTCTGAAGTCAATCTGCAATTCATTTTGGGAACGATCGAATGCTTTTAAAAGTTTGTCGGCAGATTTTCTCTAGATTGATATCGATTGTTATAACCATAAAAGCTTAACCGGTGCTTGGCTTATTCTTTGAATCTTGCATTTATCCTAAAACAATGGAGTTGATCTGTGTGTTGTTTAAATTTAAGAGAATTAATTTTAAAAATGTTTAAAATTATGTACTTGTAATGTTTTGTGTAAAAAAGTCTTTGTGCTTTAATTATTTAGGCCTATTTCTTAAATTTATTGAACGTATTAAAGCACAAATCGTTAGTATTCGGGTTTTATTCTTTTAATCAGTAAAATTTATATGTCTTCATGCTGTGTCGTTACATTTGTCAAAGACAATATTTGGTTATTTTACATTTACACCACAAAATATTAAAGTACACACTCGCAAATATATAAAAATGTTAAAGTAGAATGAAGGAGGTAAGAAAGCTTTTTCGTAGGAGGGAATTGAGATGTAATAGTTTCGTTTATCCAGCTGTATACAGCGTACAAAATATAACTGTTTATAATATTTGATAATACCTTAGTGTAACAAGCCAGAAATTAACAGAATACATCGAAAATATTATCTAGAACGTCAGTTAAAAAGAAAATATACGACATCAAGAGGAGACCGTCAACTGGGCGACAAAATAAGAGATTAATAGTCGACGGGATTGTAAGAGATTAATTGTATTCTTCTATATTAATAGATTAATATAGAACAATACAATAGCTAAACGGGCTATTGTATTGTTAAAAAGTATTTATTTTTTACAAACAAAATAAATATATTGAAAAATATAAAAACAAAAAAAAAAATTATACTTTAGAAGTTAATGTAGTATCAGAAACGTTCGATTCAGCACGACACACAGTCCTCAGAAAAACACCACACAAAAGTGCCAGTGCAGCCAGCTAAAACACAAATCAACAAAAAAAATATTGGAGTAGATATAGCCAAAGATTGCAGCGCCACAGCACTAGCAAAAATTTAAATTTGCCGAGGCCGCGTTTCTTTATGCAGCGCTCGAGAAGCGCTTTACAGCGAACCCTCTGAAACCCGTTTCTAAATGCAGTGCTGCAAGAGGTCGCTGCAGCGAAGATAAAGCAGCTTTTACGTTCGCTACACGTGTAAAGCAAAATGGACGCTTGTTTGTATAATACGATATTATGCTGTAAAAATAAAAAAGTCGAAGTGACTGTTGATAAAAATATTATGGAAAGATTAAGAAGGATTACATCTTACGAAATGACTCTGAAAGTTATCTAAAGAATAAGAAAATACTATATTCTAAATTTAATTATATATCTTTTATCTCTTTACTTTGTTCACATTTATCGAATGATAAATGCTCGATTCTTTATATCTCTTTATTTAAATATTGTAGTTCTTTAACTAAAGCACTATTTTCGGCTGTAACTGGAATTAAACGATAGATTATGAACGTCCATGTTTCGCTCGAGCGGAAAGCGTTTCTAAACTATGATGCAGCGACGTGTAGCGATAGCTGCTCGTGACGTCATTTACGCTGCACTCTCGCTGCATAAAGAAACGCAGCCA